TTTTTATGACACGTCCATATTTTTTACAGTGATTGCATGGACTCCACAGGTTGCTGCATTACACCATCCTGCCCTTTTTTAATAGATTCTTTCCTTTATGGATAATGTCATTTCAGCCCCAAAGCCTTTTTATCCTGATCCATCCATGGTTTTTATGAAGATTTAGCCGAGCTGAGGCGAGCAGCGAGGGGAGCTTGTCCGTCCCCCTCTTTAGTTTATTGGGTTATGTTTGGGAGTAGGTTGGCCAACAAATAGGATTTAGATACAATGTCATTATAATAGATCTGCCGGTTGTGAAGGAAGCGGGTCGATAGGCTTCAAAAATCAATCAGCCCGTTCGCACGGCTCGAAAGAGGCAGCAGGTACACACAGACAGGAAGTGATGCTGCCTGACGACTGTCCACAGAAAACCTCACATCTCGCAAATGATGAACGTTCAAGTACGTCCTGTCTTTTTTGGTACCTTTGGAAATCTCCTTGAATTTAGACTAAAGTTCTGACTTTGAATAATTCCATCATGCTTCAACAATGAAGTATTTTAAACCCAAGTAACCCAGTAAGACTGAAGACTGACTGTGATCAGCTATGTTCATGCTGGTTTTGTCATCTTTGTTGCTTTATTTGGTTAGTAAAGGAAAATTCTGATATTTTTCAACCTGAGTCTTATTCTTATAATGGTATCCATTTTCACTGTTTCAACAGAGGGAAATATAGATGATATAAATTGTCCTGAAAGGCTTTGATTGCATTATAGGGGTTATAATCGATAGTATGACCCATAATCTTCCTTTACATTGCTCTAAGGCAGTGCTTCCCAACCTGGTGGTCTGGTACCCCCACTAGGGGTCACCAAAGCTTCGTGGGGGGTCACGAGGCCTTCCTGATTTTAAGGCGTACTAGAAACGCGTATACATATACCTATATCACAGGATTTGGTTAACTTATGTGAAGAAAAGTAAATAGAACAATTACCAAGCATCAGAGAAAAGAAAACACTGAATTTGTCAAAAAAACCAAGCCTATTAAGTCTGTATGATTGTTAACAATGATTTAAAAAAATACATAATATAATTGTATAAAAAGTTCCTTTAATAGGAAAAAAAAGTCTGCACAGTTACTGAGTTAAATATTTGAGTTCATTATAGTTTTTAATATAATATGAAATATCTATACAATATGTCACTGAGTCAGGGGTTGTCAGTTTACTGAATGATAGAAGAGGGGTCCCTTAAGGAAAAAGGTTTGGAACCACTGCTCTAAGAAGTGGAGGACACAATAATGTCATAGGTTCTTTAACAAAAAAGAAAAGAAAAAAACCTTAAACTAAACTAAACTTTTAAAAAACTTATTATACATACACATTCTAGATCAAATTATTGATAAATTATATTTCCCCAGAAGACACACAGAGGAGGTGACAGTAGTTTTTAATCTTGCATAGACTCATATGCAGATGCAACTGTTTATAGAGATGTTCAATCTCCTGAAATGTATCAATAACTTTTACTATAGATTAGATGTTAGAGATATAAACTGTGTTTCTGCAGCTACACAGCCTCAACTCTCCCCTCAAATGGGACAATGTTTCCAGAAGAGCAGCCATGCTTATTCCATTTTAAATATCAGAAACAAACACTAATGACCGTCCAGCAAGGTGTGTCCATCCAATCAGGCTTCAAAAGGTTTACTGACTGTGGGTAGTAAACCCACCAGTGCATATACACCACACATTGTACCCTTGTTCTCCACTCTCTTCTGTAAGGATGCTAAGAAATGAATCCCAATCCCCATCATTCATCATTTCAGTTTTGAAGTTTAAAATGGACTACCAATGGTCCACACCCCTGCCTGTAAAAGCTAGGTTTATATACAACAAAATGTCTTGATTTTGTCCACGAAACCTGCAGATACCCCTTCTCATCTGTCTGAATCAGTCTCTTTACTTTCTCTTTTGCTGTAAATCTCAACTTTTTAGTGATTCTGGTTGGGAGTCTATCTCTAATTCTGTTATCTACTGGCCCAGTCTGGCCTGGGGATGGATGCCATCTATAATCCATTTATCAGAGCCGGCCACTGGGCCTTCTTCCAAATGACAGCTGGCCTTTAGCAATCTCATTATAAAAAGCACCAGGATATAGTATGGAAATATGGGGGGAGGGGGCTCCCAGGGTTTTGAAAAATGGACTGAGAAACGAACACGCAATGGAAAAAATATTAGAACCCAATCTTTTTTTAATGTATACATTTCTGTATGTCTTAAATCACACTGTTCAGTATTATTTTCCAAAAAACAGTAATGGTTACACTACTGCACAGTGCCAAGAGTTGATGCCGATCACTGCCTGTGAATCTCAGGTGTCTCGTGGATAAAATCCAAATGCAATGTAATAATACTTTTATTTATTTATTTTTTTTACACTTAGCCACATATATGCATCTCCATTGGCCAGATAACAAATCTACTTGTCATCCATTTTGGGTTACGTGCCAGTCAAGTTCGGACCTTCGCCAGTGGTAGTAATGGACTTGAAGCTGTTTGGTAACTGCCAAAAATACCAGTTGCATCTTACCACAGTAAAGTAATATTTTCTTCAGATGTACACTGTGGGAAATCCTGCTGATTAATCACAGCCTCCCTTTATCCTGAGTTGTCTATTTTTAGTTTACAGTCATCATTCCCCTCATTTAGGTTCATGATAATAGATCCAACACACAAAGAGAAAACTCCATTAAGATTAACAGGTAGTAGAGCTTTGATTTTCTGCCCAAAACCGATTGGACCCCAAACATCCTGCTGCGTTCGGTCCCAAAACTGTTGCGTTAGGTTGGGTTCAGGTCGGGCTTGGACAGAATTAGATTTAAAAACGGGCTCCCCAGGGGTTTTGAAAAATGGACTGAGAAACGAACAGCAATTGGAAAGAAAATTAGAACCCAATCTTTTTTAATGTATAATTCCTGTATGTCTAAATCACGCTTTCAGGTATTATTTTCCAAAAAACAGTAATGGGTTGACACTACCTGCACAGTGCCGCCAAGGAGTTCGATGCCGCATCATTACTGCTGCTGAATCTCAGTGCTGTTTCCCGTGGGATGAAGAATCCGAAATGCCGCAATGTTAATAATACGTTTATTATTTATTTTTTTACACTAGCCACATATTTCTCTGTTGTACGGCGCTCCCATAGATTAGTTATGCCGTATGCTCTATGCATCTCCACTTGGCCAGATATACACAAATCTACTTGTCATCCATTTGTGGGGTACGTGCCCAGTCAAAACTGTGTGTGGTCAGTCTCGCCGACCTGTCGCCAGTGGTCACAGGTAATGGACTGTGGCAATGCTGTTTGGTTAGACTGGCCAAAACATACCATTGCACAATCTTACCACAGTAAAGATAATATTTCTTCAGAATGCGGTCACACTGGCTCCTGGAAGAATCCTGCCGGATTAATTCACAGCCTCCCTTATATCGCTGGAGTTGTCTATTTTAGTCTTACAGTCATCATGTCCCCCATTTCTAGGTTCCGGTATGATAATAGATCCAACAAACACCAAGAGAAAAAGTCCATTCAGATAACAGGAGTAGGTAGAGCTTCTTTTGATTTTGTGCTGCCCAAACCGATTGGACCGAAACATCCTCTGCCCGTTCGCCTTGTCGCAGTCCCAAAGACCCGTGTTGCGTTATGTTGGGTTCGGGTCCGGGCTTGGACCAATTAGATTTAAAAATACGATATTTTCCATGATTTTAGTTGTATTAATGTTTGCAACTGGTTATTGAGTTAGTTTTTAAAATAGGTTTCACTAGTATTATATGCGACAATGTAGTTGGACGTTTAGTCTTAATCTGGGTGGATTTTGGGCCTTAGGTTACGTCAGGCGTATAATCTTTTGGGCCTGATCAAAGCCTTAACAAGGAGAGTGACACAAGCAGTGACTCCAGCCTCTGCTCTATCTCTCCCACCGTCTTCGGCTCTCTTTTTCCCTTCTCTCCGTCTGTTGGTTTGTGTGTTGTGTTTGGTCGTTGTTGAGGGAGGAGATTGGACGATGTGATTTGTGGGGGGCCGTTTTAGAAGGTCGGGTAGGAGCTAGGAGAGGCTGCGTCACGCTGGTGCTACTTCTCTGTAGCGGCTTTGCATCAGCCTAAAGATTATACCTTGATGCCTACCTAAGGCCCAAAGCCACCCGATACAGACTAAGTCAAACCTACATGCTGCGCATTCAATATAGTGCAAAACCTATTTTAAAACTTAATCCAATAACCAGTGCAAACAGTTGAATAATAAAGATAGGACAATATCTATTT